ACAAGGTACGAGAAGGCGGAAAAGGTTTCTCGCCATATACAGACAAGTCGGATTCTTCGAGCTCGAGAAGAGCTTCGGTGGCCGTTCCATACTCCCAGCTGAGAAAAAGCAAGGTTATTCGTTAGTACGCAATCACGCCGACAGAAGTGTGAACTGCTTCCGCCCTCTTACCTGTGCCCAATGATGGCAAGCATCTTGGAGCGGACTTTGCTGATGGTACCATCATCTAGACCAACATTGTTCCAGTTGTTAGCGGAGACGGCGAGTGCGCCAAAGCACAAGTAAGCAAAAGAGCGGAAGAGCATGACGCTCGGCAAAAGAGTGTGGGTGAGGGTAAAGAGAGAGACTAAGGAAGCGATGTAGAAATGCAAAGATCCGCTCGACCTTGCTCTTTATATACTGACATTGAGTGTATAACGGATACAGTGAGTGATTTTGCCCAATGAAACGGATGAGAAGGCGAGAAGAAGAGTATGGCGCAGACGGGAGAGAAGCCATCGGTTCTTGGTGCCAGAATACAGTACACGGACTCATTGAAAATTGGACAATTGTTTGATTCTTGCCAGGTTGTATTTTCCAATTTATTCATACATTTACAAATCTAGGGTTGGACCCTGTTTTTCCACGGCTCATAAATGAGTTTTATTGCGTTCCGAGTTTTTATAATGGTGACCATGCCCAGCGTAATCGGCAGCATTATGCCAGGTGCAATCTCCGACGCAGAAATAAGCATTTGTATGCATTGGCTGGCTGTAGCGGTATAAGCGGCCTCGATTTCGTCCATAGTGTTTCAAGGCAACCGAAAAATTGCTCCTCTAGAGGCTCTTAACGCCGCGTGGAACCATCAATGCGCTTTCCGACATTGACGCGTTGTTGTTTCGGCACTATAACCAACGGCTGTAATATCCTTTTAAATGCGGAGGAGGGAAAGATTTGGCTTGGCCGAAGGGTCAACGTCGAAGTGCAAGTGCATGCACACCACCGTTCACCAATTTTATGCGCCCAAAGAAGAGTATCTGAGTAGATCTCAAAATCATATCCTTATATACAGTAGTGGACTTAGTCGGAACTAGAAAAGAGGCAGCCTGTCAAAAATTTTACTCCACCGGCCGTATATCTATTCAGCCCTTTACCATGGATACATATCATCGATACCAAGGGAGCCTCTTTTGATTCCAATGCCTCGTCTGAACAAGTTCACGCGTTATGACCTTGACATGTGCAGAATCCCAGCTAAGCGCGTCTACTCGAGAGCCCCGACACAGCTATTTCAAATGCCTATGACTTGCAATACTTTGAGTGAGCTTCCTGGGCTCCACAAGGAGGACATACTTTAGGCAACCGCCGGGGTAGACGACCATTCCTCAAATTTGATGACACCCCAAAAATAGAGACGGAAATCCCGATCACAGTTGATGGAACGTGGTCTCAATAGGTTTGTATTTGCAACGGTCAACTTTTCTGGTGTTAGCTATTAAGTCCGTTTCGGCTGAATTGAGGATGTAGTTAGTGATGTAAATCCGAAGGTGTACGATAAGTGCGTACCATCGTAGACGCCTTCCTATAGAGTTCTTGAACCTTCACGACAGTAGCTACCAAATACCGGTCCGCGTTATGAAGGCAAAAGCGAAGTCTGCAGACTCAACACTGGCTGAGTACTTCTTTACGCCTTTCTTTAAGCTTCCATATATAGAACCTGGACCTAAATCATGGCATCCTCGGATCTTGGAAAAGCCGCCACGCAGAGTCTAAAAGGCCACACCCTCAGATTGTATCTACCAACTGTTAGAAGTAGCATAGAACTGTTCAGAGTTACTCCATTTTCCTACCTTCGCCAGAACAAATGACAGTTTTGTTTGCACGATCAAAGCTTTCCTCGTCTGTAGAATAGGTTTCCCGACTGTTGATATCCGTTCCTTGTTTCATCTCGCGATAGTTGCCAAAGAATCTATTTGTATTTTCATATGGGTGGATTGGTCTCTCCAGCTAATCAGCACGAGGCAGGTAGCATTGGATGGTGGTGGTGCATTCCAAGTCGTCCGAGTCTGACCACCCGCTCGACCTTGGCCAAAATGTGTTCCAACTTGTCCTCCACCACAATCAGTCTGCCGACTATATATCATCTATACCACATATTTCCACTACATGTCTCTCTCTACAAATGAACCAACGTACATTCCGACTCCCCATCCACGACGGTTGCCCACGGAGGTCGAAGTTCAGCATTGCGTCACAGTGGTCGACAACTTAAATACGGAAATGGAAGATGTGCAGAGGCAAATGGAAAAGCTGCTGCAAAGGTTCAAATCTCTTGACGCTCAGAAAAAGAATCACCTCTCGTTCATGTCTCGCATTCGATGTCTTCCGACCGATATTCTTGGCGAAATATGCAAGGCTTGCGTCGATGAAGGCATAAGTCCTTTCGTGCTCTCTCAGATTTGTGGACGCTTTCGCGATATCGTGATTAACATGAAAGTGTTATGGAGCCATATCCACATCACAAGCAAGGGGAACCCATACATCTCCATGCGTGAAGTGGATCCTGAAGTATATCCGGATGTAAGTACAAGCTTGATACCTCTATAACACCTAATACTTGCCTAGTGTGGGCTCAGATGCAGAGGGCGTAGGAGCCTCGACTTGGTCTTTCAACGTGCCTGCCCTGCCTTCATGACCATGATCTGGGAATGGCCCTATACCCAAAATTATCTCGATATCATTAAATTCCATTCGAGCAAAATAACTTCTCTGACTGTGGAATACCGTGATGTTAGAGACATGCCAAGACATCTCTGGAATATGACTGCATGGAATGATTTCAATTGGAAATCCCTCAAGCATGTCTGCCTGAAGGAGTGGGACCTCGCTACTTTAGTAATGCCGTGGAATGCTTTAGCAAGCTTGCAACTCGACCAAATGGTCGTCGAGATATATATAGCTCGCGACGTCCGGGGATGGATGAGGGAACGATCCGTCGTTGACAAGATTGTGACTTTGATAGTTCATACAGGTAACATTTCTCCGCACTTAAGAGTGATATAACCTAATTGACATACACCCGCAGACTCCAGATTGGAAGATCACCAGCTTCCGGGTACTATTCCGCAACCATCCCTACGGTCTCTCAAATATCTGACAGTCTATGGCAACCCAAGGTTCTTGAGGCTGGTTCAGTTACCTTATTTGACCTCGCTACAACTGGCTTCTTCTACGACGCAATACCTCCCTTGGCGAGCAC